ATATATATCCGATTTAAAACCACATACTGAAACGGCCTGGGTCGGATTTGAAAAAAATCGGATTTGTCGCGTTCAGACTGTCATAAAAAAATCAGATATGGGTCACATGGGGCAAAAAAAAAAAAATCGGATTTGGGTCGGATTTGAAAATAATCGGATTTGTCTCGTTCAGACCATCATAAAAAAAATCGGATATGTCACATGGGGCAAAAAAAAAAAAATCGGATTTGGGTCGGATTTGCCTGCAGTGTGAACGTAGCCAAAAAGTCTCCATATCCCATAATAAGGCTTTATCTTGATGTTAAAGTTAAAGTTTCAGGTCATAGAATCGTTTTAAAATTATTTTTCAGTACTTACAGTATATGTCTATAATTCTGGTTCAAATATAGAACTTTATTTTTTTCTAGGCTGTTTATTTGTGAGTTAATATTGCCTTAATGGACAATGATTTTAAAAAGTGAGCCATTAAAACATCAATGTCAAATGCGATGCGTTTGCAATTTTAGGTGCACCTAACTTTTGTACTGGTGCACCTAAAGAAAAATGTTAGGCGACCAGTGCTAGAAGTTAGTCTAGAGCCCTAAACTGGTCAGCTCTTCTGCAAAGACAGGAGGATCTGTACATTAGACCAGTACTCCCCAAAGTTGGGGTTGGGACCCAAAGTGGGGTCCTGAAAATATTTTCTGAATTAATTACACTAAAAAATGACAACTTACAACCACTGGATTAGACCACGAAGCAGCACAGAGCTGGACTTCATGGAAGAGCGACAGGGAAAAAAAAACAGCTAAACTGTTTCAAATTTCTGCAATGGTGCAGTGGTCAGATGAGTTTTTTATCCATCAACACCATGTCTGGATCAAACACATCTCATGCCTGCACATCATCTTTACCATGAAGCATGGAAATGGCAGCATCAGGCTATGTGGGGATGTTTTCCATCAGCAGGGATTCTGAATTATGTCAGGGTTAAAGAAAGGATGGAGCAAAATACGGTTTGTGTCTTCCAGAGATTTGACACAGGGACAGAAGTTCACCTTCTAGCAAGATTCTCAACACAATGCTGGATAGACAAAAGAAGAATATTAATGCTCACTCAGGTGTTTTTGTTTCTTAGCCCGCAATATATTTATTTATTTTATTTTTTCATTTTCAAAGTGGTAGTTATTTTACATAAAATAAAAGACGTCTCAAGCAGAATTTTAAATTTTTGGTTGTAAGGTGGCAAAACAGAGAGAACAATAAGGTATACTTTTGAAAATACTTTTGCAACCCACATATAGCTATAAAGAGGTATTGAGTTTTATCTGGTTAAATAAAACACATCCACACAATACTTCTGCTCTTAAAATGGCAGTGTTAACTATGAATTAAACCCAGTTCTTACTTTGCCAGTCTGTTCTTACCGTACTCCATCCTTGGGGATCTTGGTGTGTCTGTYCTGAGGTGGGGTGGAGGGTGATGGGGGGGCTGCACGGGACTGCACAACCCCCTGTCCTCGAAACTCCCATAGTGAAGTAGGAGKGGCGTTGGTTCCATGAGAAGGAGAGTGGCCATGGTGGGGCCTCTGAGGCTGAAGTGCAGGTGTGGGGGAGCGCAGTCGGCCATACAGCTTGGCCAGAGGAGCGTGTCTCCGTTCACAGTGCTTTTCAAACGCCTGTGGCTTCACCACTTGGCCACAATGGCTGCATACCACCAAGTAGAAGTCATCATGGGCAGGATAGAGACCAAAGATGGACATGTCTGTCATTCAGATATYAAGAACAGAKAATAATTTTAGTGTGGATTCCCAGATTCACAGGGCTGCTATACCTTGCACGAMTGTGGATGTAAATGTTCAGGAAATGTGAGTCTTCAAACAAAACGTTAACCTCAGTGGACTTACAGCATTTTATAATAAATCTTACACACTACAATGACTATCAAGTCCTTTCATGGGCAATTCAGAGGTAATGTTGTAAAGCTTTAAGCGCTTCCAGTTACAATTTAAAGAGCCATGTTTACCATCTAAATAAAAGTTTGCACTGAGCCACAAAAATCAACTTCAGGTCTAAAATGAAGAAAAAAATCTTAACTTATTAAAGCAGACATATCCTGATTTAAATCCTTCCTTTACACATTTAAATRTTTCAGTTGGGTCTTTATAAAGTGAAACTGCAATGTTTTGGTCTGAACTCCTCCTTATTTTAACCTCTTTCACCACTTTTCTGATGTGTGTCTCAGAGCAGCTCGTTTTAATACTGTGCCTTTAAGGTGCCTCAAGCTCCACCCCCTCTAGCTCGAGAAAGGGAGTTAGCATTTTCTAGCAGTGCAGAAACAACTTATGTACAATTTAATTAAAAGACGTCAACAACAGAGGACTTGTCCATCCAGCCTTACTTGTTGGAGCCAGAGTCTGATCCAGAACCAGAGGAGAATTAAGAGGAGGAAATTGTAGTTGGTAAGTCCAGCCCTTATTTGTCAGTTCCATCACAGATAATTAGACATAATAGTTCAGAAAACATCAAAGAAAATAGAGAAAACTGAACGGGCTGAAAAATCGGACCCAAACAGAATATAAAGATATCTCTGCAGCATGGGAGAGACTAAATTCAACCTTTTTTTGACTCTAAGAGACCCCAAATTCACAACAAAAAGTATTTAACAGCTAAAAAGTGTATTTTGCAGATATGTCCCTTTTAAGCTTCATTTATTAAATTTCCTTCATCAGGTTGTTTGTTAATTTATTTATCACCTAAATCTTTTCAAAAAGCACTTATGTTACCAGGCTTTTATTYGAGGGAAGTCTACATTTCATTTTTCTCTTTATTATAAGAATAACTTGCTGTGAGCTAGAAAGTCATTATTTGATGCCTTAGTATCTATGAWGCTCAAAAGATGTACAAAAATGCATCCTATTTGTAAAGCAATCTGCCTGAAGTTTGTTGAAAAATGTGAATTTACAGAGTCAGAAAACTGCAGAAACATTGTAGGAAGTGAGCTAACAAACCATTAGCTCAACAACAAAAACCCTGATAACTGAACACCTTTCAATGAAACATGAGCCACATTTACTTTAGTGTGAAATGATGGGAAGCTGGCTACACAAAGCTTCAATATACTTACTGATAGGTCTGCTAAAACATGCTAAAAAATGAGTTCACAARGGCAGAACAATCACATAAATCAGTTTGTCACTCTGCCAAAGAAATGTTAGATTTACTGCAAACACCTCGACTGGAAAACTGCTAAAAGTACTATTTCTTGTTGTTTACTTAAATATAATATTTTGTCTAAGTAATAATCAAAGTTACAAAGAGACAGTTTGCAACATGCTGCTTTAACTGGTTGATAAACTTACTAACATTACATATCTCATGCTTGCAGGGGAGTGGGACTCYTGTTGTAGAACAACTTACCCTCTTTACAAAGCGACATAGCCTCTGCAGCCTTTTTGCCATTCTTGCTGCACTCATCCACATCAGACCCTGAAATGTCACATAACAAATATATTATTCCATCACTTAAAATGATTATTTTATGCATTTACATTTTATATAATTACATATTTTATTTTTTGAGCCTATTGCACTTCCTTCTACTGTACACTCACCGGCCACTTTATTAGATACACCTTGCTAGTACTGGGTCGGACCCTCTTTTGCCTTCAGAACTGCCTTAATCCTTCGTTGCATTGATCCAAAAAGGTACTGGAAACATTCCTCAGAGAGTCTGATCCACATTAACATGATAGCATCACACAGATGCTGCAGATTTGACGGCTGCACATCCATGATG